CCCAAAATTATGCTTTTTTTTTGTCAGCTCTGGACACCTAAAAAAACTCAAAATAGAAAAATTCAACTATTTTTTTGTATGTCAGTGTGTTGGACGCTTGAAAATTTATATTTGTGCCAATTTTCATCTTCATTGCTCTAAATATGACCGCGCAGAAGCCCAAAATATATTTTTTTTTGTTTCACCTTTAACCCCTTAAAATCTTTAAAAAGACCTAAATAATAAAAAATGAAAAAGGTGGCTAGGCTTATTGAACCATGGTATAATCCTATTAAGTCTCAAATCGATCTCACGAGAAATGAAGGAATGGCGGTCGATTGAAAAGTGTTTGGAAGAAGAAGGAAGAAAGAAGAAACAATAGAAAAACAGTATGTCTATCTGAGGAGACAACTATATTACAGGTAGTAACAAAGTCCTGAATAAAATAGAATGTGATAATCGATATGCACAATCACTTTGTGCAGGTTTTAAATAAAACACATTGGAACGAAGTGAACAACGGAACAAACGACGCTGCTGAAGACGTGTCACCTGAAAAAAGCCACTGTTGGAGAAGAAACTCTACCCGGTTTTGAGAGGGAAAACAGTGAAGCCCTTAGTGAAGTTACTACCACTAATGTGACTGCTACCGATAATAGGGCATTTCCTGATGGAGCAGATGAACCCCACGTGAAGTAGAAGCCAACGAGACTGAGACCAGTACGTAAGAAGATACGTCCCGTAAAATTTAGAGACTTTATTGAATTTTAATTTTGTGTTTGTAAATTCTGTACATTTAATTAAGTTATTGTTAATTGTCTATTTGTTTAATGTAAGTGGATATTGTTCGGGACGAACAATACTAAGGAAGGGGCAGTGTTACGATAGCGGAATTCACGCGACGCTGAGAGCATGCGCGCTGGAATTTCTAGAAGGATCATGAAGGCCTGAGTGCATTCGAGACGCCCTCTTTTTTAGTATATAAGCCTGGCGAGAAAAACTAGCGCAAGGGCATAGATAGATAGATCGAAGAGATAGATAATTGAGTCAAGTGAACGGTAGTGTCGGTAATATAAAGTGTGTGTTTTGTTATCGAGATTGCAAACGTATTGACTGTGGAAATTCTGTGTATTACTAAAAGTTGTATCGGGAAAGAATAAACTAGTTTTAATTAAGAAAGAACTTGTATCGCTGAAGTTCCTCGGAAAGAATTCATACCGGAAATTAACAAACGAGCAGATACGTAACAAGACTTAACTGGCATGACAAAAGGTAAGGCATAGCCCCGATGGTATTCCTTTTTGTGCATGTATGTTTGCTTCTTCCCAAATATACTTTTGCACTGACATGCCAAGGAACTGTAAAGGAAATCAAAGAAATAAAGAAAATAATCAGAAAACAGTTTTTGAATTGGGAGATAGCTCACCAAATTCACAAAATACGATATGGACACTCAACCACTATACAATAGATAGCTCGCGAAATCCACAAAATATGACACAGACAGCTTATGAATTGGGAGATTATTTGCGAAATCCACAAGATACGATATAAACATTCAACCAGTATGTAATAGAAATGGAACCAACCCGTAGTATGTCTTTTTTGGCGTTAAATCTCTCAGTGCACCACAAAGACTCGATAAACAAACAGTGGGTTGTATCTAACTAGCATGACATATAATGTGATAATACATAGTAGTAAACTGTATATAAGAAGAAAAGAAAATTATCGAACAGTAACATGTTCTCGCAAAAACATTCTAAAGTCTTCTTTTCAACATCTAATTAAGCGGTTTCATGTTAACCTACCAATCAGGTCTTACATTAGTGTTGAGCAGAAAGCTACACAATTGGCTATCTGTGTGCTGCCCACCGTTGCTGGTATCGAAAAATCACTATTTTAGCGTTATAAGCCCTCAAACTTACTGCTGGGGGAGTGGGGTGTAAGGCTAGGCCTTATATAAACGTTAGTTTGAAGCATTGACTTGTTATAGCTGTTACACCTCTATAATTCGGTAATATAGAAATAAGTACTTGGTTATTTTCTGTCGGTTCTAATGGCTCAGCGGCTAGTCTGAGAGCTTATAACGCTCAAAATCGGGTTTCGATACTCGCAATGGGTAGAGCTCAGTCCATTGTGTAGCTTTGCGCTTAATAACAAACAAATAATTGTAATGATTTTTTTTTATTTGAATATAAGAGAATAATAAGCATTATTTTGACACTCGGATCATTTATTCTTATGTATTATTCGTAAATGTAAATAAATACTACTAGTAATATATTTTCACTGAGATTTTAACGCGCCTGAAAGTTTTACTTTAGTCCTTATTTAAAACATTAATATCATACGAAAAGCCCCCCAGTGGCACAGCGGCATGTCTGCGGACTTACAACGCTAGAAACCGGGTTTCGATACCCGTGGTGGGCATAGCACAGATAGCCCATTGTATAGCTTTGTGCTTAACTACAAACAAACAAACATCATACGAAAAAGTGACTGAGTTGAACGGCTTAGTCTAATACTTTCTATAACCGAGCCCCCCAGTAACACAGCGGTATGTCTGCGGACTTTCAACGCTAGAATCCGGGTTTCGATACCCGTGGTGGGCATAGCACAGATAGCCCATTGTGTAGCTTTGTGATTAACTTCAAAAACAAACAAACAATCTATAACCGATATTCATTAAATTTAAAAACGGTGATATGTTGACGATTTTTTCTTTCGCCCGCCAATCAGCACAAAAACAACGACCTGTCGTAAAACTTCGACTTCTTACCAAAAACTCTTCAGTGCTATAACACACTAACGATATATAGCAAAATGTGTTAATAACATCAGAAGATAACTTAAAATGAAATCATTTAGTTGCTTCATATAAAAATTCTGTATTTTATCCTAATATTTTCTAATGACCGTGTATTTTATGATTCCACTGCTCGTAAAGTGGATTGGTTAATCCAACTTTTTTTTTTTTGATTAATTACAGAGGGATTTTGCCCAATCGGCGATCCACGGCCAAGTAAATGTTCTCCGTCTCCAGTATTTAATGTTTGTGACAGTGACCAGGACTGCCCGGGGACAAAGAAGTGTTGTGAAGACGGATGTTCCAAAGTTTGTGCTGTTTCTCTTCCACGACCGCCTTCAAAACACCCGTTAAAAGATCGTAGTCGACCACCGTTCTTCGGATGAATGTGTTAATAACAGGAAAATCTAAACGGACTCTTTAACAAATATTGGTCTGCATCTAATAAAGAAAAATTTTCACCCTTCATTCGTGCTTCAATGGCTTGATAAAAAGTGTAACTTTAACGTAGCAAAAGAAGTTTTCACTGTATATCTATATAAGTATAATAGTACTGTCTGTTGTCTGAATCTATATAAATATAATAGTACTGTCTGTTGTCTGTCCATGTAACTACTTGGCAGAATGTGGATGGATCTTCACCAACTTTGATATGAAGGGTTTTTTTTGTTCAATGGGGAGATACATACAAATTTTCATTTTGCATTTTATGTTTTGCGGTTTTTATAGACGTTTTGTACCACTACTTCGCCCCTATTGGCATGAAGGTTTGTTGGATTCATGCGAAGATACATGCAAATTTTCAGTTTCACGTTTTGTGTTTGTAGTT